GTCACGTTGTTCAGTCGTTACACCTTGTTGTATGTTGAGCCATTTAGACGTTACAAGCTTAGTGTCCTTTTAACAATGCCACCATCTTCGTTTTTTGTGTTAACGTATTCGTTACTCATCTCCTTTCCGACGATACCTCACACGTCACGATCGGACGACCCGTCGCGCCTCCCCAACTAAAAGATCAAAAAACCAGCAGAATGGACCTTAGCGATTTCTTATGGGATTTAACATGGGGAAATAGCCAGCACCCGTGCTGCCCTTTTGCTCTAGTGATCTCAACATTGATGGCTAGAATGTCAAACACATGTGCAAAAGGTGAGAGATGCGATAATTCCAGAACGGTACTCAAAAAACATCACTAACAGGCTAATGAACCAGAATAATAGAAGACATTGAAGCAGCAGCGAAAGATTAAATAGGAACAGAACTTGAATGCAAGAATACAACAAAAGAAAGAAAATAAAGCCTACAGAATACTAAACAGAAAGATGCTTACCCGAAGTACTAAAATAACTGTAGAGAATTATCAAACAAAGAGAAGAGAAGAAAAGTGGATACAGAATACTAAAATGTATAGAAAACATTAGCAGAGAGAAAGAATATAGAGCATTATATGAGAAAGCTAACATCAACAGAAAATAATTCAAGGCAACAAGACAATACAGAAGTCAGAATGGCGACCTATTAACAATAAGGAAAAGTGTAATGAATAGATAAGTGGAATATTTTAACTAGGCACTTAATATAGAGGTCGGTCATATAATAATAATATAGCCAAGTGAGCTGGGCGGCCGGTTTCTCACTCCCTTCACTGCTAGTAGTTCAGTGCACCGATCCCCAGCTCGGTGTACAGAAAACAGCTAACGCAGCAGTTTAAAATTCTAAATGAATCTGCGGCTTAGACTAGACTATGCTAGTGTGTGATGAGCCTATGGTGGAGCAGTACCGCAAGAGGTAAGGGCTTGCGGCTCGGTAATACTCCTCCATAGATCCCTACCGGAAGGGCGTGTGCCGCCTAAATACCGGGTATATATATATATATATATATATATATATATATATATATATATATATATATATAGTATATATATATATATATATATATATATATATATATATATATATATATATATATATAGTTAATATAGAGGAAGAAGGAGAAAACCTGGAAGATAAAAGAGATGACGTAAGGGAAACAGACGAGAGGGAAGAGGAACCACCAACGTTTCTTGAAGTTTAAGATGCAGTTAAAAAACTAGCCAGAAACAAATCACCTGGAATAGGTAATCTCTTAGCTGAACTGTATAAAGAAGGTGTCCACGATACCAGAATAGCATTTTAGCAGCTTATAAAAGAAATATGGACAAAGCAATACCTCCCAATCCCAGGTACAGTGGCAGAGCTAATCCAACCACTCTTGAAAAGGGCTTGGAGAGAGGAAAAGTTCCCCAAAGAATGGAAAACGGGATTAATAATAAAGATACCAAAAAAGGGTGACAGAAGATATTGCGAAAACTGGAGAGGAATCACACTTCTGAATACTATAAATAAATTAACAGCAATAATTATAAACAACCGACTAACAAACAGTGTAGAACCAATGTTGAGGAGGGAACAAGCCGGTTTCAGATCAAACAGATCATGCGTGGACCAAACTAACACACTAATAATTGTAGAACAGTCACAGGAATTCAACTCTCCTCTCTTTGTGTGCTTTGTGGACTTCAAGAGAGCTTTTGACACGCTCACACATACGGCCATATGGAAAGCACTGCAGGAAATAGGAATACCAGAAAAAATAGTCTTCTTCTTCTAGTTCCATGACCGTTATCGATCGTTGGATATCATGTTGGCTACCATATTCGCTATCGTGACTTTATTGACAGCAGCAGAAAAAATAGTAAATCTTATCAAAGAACTCTACAGTGACACAGAAAGCAAAATCCTACACAACGGCATAACATCTGACCCAATAGCTATGCTAAACGGAGTAAAGCAGGGCTGTGTTTTATCCCCTATACTATTTAACATTGTACTGGACTCCGTACTAACAAAGGTAAACTCTAATAGAGGAATTTACTGGGGATTAACAAACAGACTGGAAGACCTAGATTACGCTGATGACATATGCCTCCTAGCACATACAAAACAGGACATGCAACTAGAAATAAACAAAGTACAAGAAGAATCAAAGAAGGTTGGTCTAGAAATAAACACCAACAAAACCAAAGAAATGCGATTTGGTACCAGAAACAACCAACCTATTATGATCAACGACCAGAAAATTGAGAGAGTAACGGAATTTGTATATCTGGGCAGCATAATTGACTGTAATCGGGGTACAGAGCGTAATGTACATGAAAGAATAAATAAGGCTCGCAACGCCTACAACATGCTTAACAATATATGGAAATCCAGGATTTACCCAACTAAAACGAAACTAAAAATCTTCAACACAAATGTAAAAGCTGTATTACTGTATGGCTGCGAAACGTGGAAGATATCAGCACCCATAGTACACCAACTACAAGTTTTCATCAATAGAGCGTTACGAAAAATCCTTCGTATATTTTGGCCTAACCGAATCTCCAATGAAAATTTATGGAACCAAAGCAACCAAAAAAATGTCATAAAGCAAATAAGGCGAATAAAATGGAGATGGCTGGGCCACACACTCCGTAGACCGCCAAATGACATTGCCAGGACAGCGCTGGATTGGAATCCCCAAGGCCGACGGAAAGTAGGCAGACCTAAGGGAACTTGGAGAAGGACAGTAGTGGACGAAGGGAGAACAATGGGAAAATCCTGGCTTGAAATCAAAGCACTAGCCAGAAATAGAGTTCGCTGGAGACACTTTGTGGAAGCCCTATGTTCCTCTTAGGAATCTTGGGACTATATATAATACCTCCCAATGATTAAAATATTGGAATACTTTGCACTATGCACAAAAAAGGAGATACCTTTGAATTCTCTAACCACAGAGAAATTACGCTTCTAAATGGATGTTAGAAAAATACAAGGCTGATTTCAGAGGTGGTAAATCAACAATTCATCAGATTGCAACCCTGAAACAAAGTTTAATAAACACTAGAATATGGTATAGATACTTACTTCACTACAAAGTTGCCTACGACTCTGTGAATATAAGAGAAATGTTCAAAGCAATGAAAGAGCTAGGAATACCAAATCAGTTGGTAAATTTAACAAAACTAATTCTTGAGAAAGTTGAATGTAGAGTACGACTTATGTCTGAACCTTTTAAAACATATTACTGGCTTAAAAAATAAAAATCTATAGAGCAATAATACACCCAGTCCTAACATATGGTTCAGAGATCAGGACTCATGATCCGATGGTAAAAACATGTTACGATGTTTCGAAAGAACAGTACTAAGACGAATCTAGCAGAGAATGACAATGGAATGTGGGGAAGACGATACAACTTCAAACTTTATAGAATATACCAGGAACCATATATCGTAAAAAATAATGTTGATACATTTTTGTTACTGACCTCTTCTTTTAGTCTTGAAAACCAGAGTCTGCTACATTCTGCAGATGGGTTTGCTACATATGTTTCTTCATTAATTAGGATATTTTATCCTCTCTTCGCTTTATAGTGAAAGGTGTGGAGGTTGCACCGGTTAAATCAATTACGTATCTGGGAGTCTGGTTGTCGGACGGTTCGAAGTACACATGTAAAAGACAGTACAGAAGGCGAATAGAAATCTGGAGATATTGATATGCCTGATGCCAAATATTTTAGGCCCAGGTAGCACCAAAAGAATGATGCTAAATAGAGTTTTCCAGTCGGTGGTAACCTACACTGCCCCCGTGTGGTGTAGCATACTAAACACTTCGAAATACGCTAAGCTGATGGAGACTTCGCTAAAGCGACTTCTCCTCAGGGTATCTAGTGCATATAGGACAGTTTCAAATGAGGCTCTATGAGTCATTGGAGCAGTGATACCGATCGTTTTGTTGTGCAAAGAGCGAGCGAGGATGTATGCGAGAAGGATGGATGTAAATATAGATGAGAATAATAGAGAAAGAACGATAGTAGAGTGGTAGAGAGAATGGGCGAATGATAGTGGAAAGGCAAGGTGGACTAAGGAGCTTATTCCCGATCTGAGACCGTGGTGGAAATGTAAGTTCAGGAAACTAGACTACTTCCTGACGCAGTTTCTGGTCGGACATGGTAGTTTTGGCACCTCCACAAATAGAATAGGCAGACTGTACTGTTTGTGGGGTACCGAATGATCCTGCCCACATTTTTAACTGCCAGAAATGGGCAAATGAGAGGTGATATTTCGAGACAATGGGTTTCGGTCTGGATGAAAGAAACATTGTAAACATAATATTGAGAGGAGAGAAAGAATGCAGAGAAGTATACTGTCTGATTTCTGGGGTGATGAAGAAAAAGGAGCAGGAGGAAAGAGGAGAAAATCGAAAATCGAGATTTACTTTCAGCATTTTTTTCTATTTTAACACATATCGAAAACTAATAACTTTAGAACAATAGTGATACCTATTGCCGTTTATAGAATTTCATTGTATATTTAACTTTGACAAAAAGATTATAGGTTCAGCTTTTAAAGTAATATCAAATCTAATTTTAAAAATCGTTCTATCTCGGCGTTTGTTTGTTTAAATGGTAGCTAATGGGGAAAATTTGAGGTTTTCAACCAAATAGTTCACACTATATGTAGCTGACTACATGACCGATTATTCAATAAAAAAAATACTTTCATGTTTTGTTTTGTATCGAATCTTCCAAAAAATCGTAATAATTAGTAATGTAAAACATCCAATTTAGCATTACAAGACAGCAAATGATCGATTGTATATTATGGTTGAGTTGCTGGAAAAATATGCTAACAAGAATCGACTAAAATCACCTTGGTCGTGTAGTATAAACAATTTAAAAATTTGTTTAGTTGTTTTTATGATTAAAAACTTTGATAGTAAAATGCAAATATCGAGGTTGATAAACTTACCCAAGTGAAACCTATGCAGGCGATTGCACCGCTCAGTATGTCGGCAACAATTGCAGGATAAGAATTGGCCGTCGGATAATAAGCGTGAAATCTGGGTGAATGCCAGTGAGTTACCTGTAATAAGAATGTTAAAAATATTAGAACATTTTCACGGTTTTTAGGTACTTAAATATTATTTAAATTTTATGGGTATTAAGTAGCATTTTAAATGTAACCAAACATTTTAATATTAATAAAAATTATAGCACAGTATTAAAAGCATTAGCGCAATAATTATATAGCCAATGTCTTTCAAAAAAAGTTACACCGTCTCAGTGGAATAAAGCTGTTATAGTAGTCACGCGCAAAAAGGGAAATGAAAACTGAAGAACCATAGACTTATAAGATTGTTATCTCACATTTATAGATTAGGTTAGGTTAGGTTATTGCACAAGCTACTCTAATGAAGATTTTTTATATACTTACTCCTGGCATAATAACTCTTTCAAGGTCCTTCATGATGTCTTCCCATTTATCGGGTTTTTCTGGTGCAGTTTCTGGTATAAGCGGTCTTAAATATCCTGGTTCAACCATGGGTAGTACACGCCTGAAATAAAAAAATCGATGTAAGTAAAAATGGTGAAAAATTTCATTTCCACCTTTGTTGCAATATACTATGTCTATTGGATTGAAATATGCAGGTTATTACAAATGCAAATCCTCACAAATTTTTGAAAAGCAGGTAAGGATGTTCAAAGTTAAATCAATCAAAATAATATTTTTTTCCGCAAATCGCCAGGAAATTTTGACATTCCTGTCTAAATTTCTTAAGAAAAAGTCAAGACTTCCTTACTGAAAGGAAATGTCATTTCCTTACTGTAAGGAAATGATATTTCCGTACAGTTGTTAGTACGGAACATCATCACTTATCATTTTACTTTCGAGAACACCAGCAATTAAATTTATAAGCGTCAAGTTTGACAATTCAACCTCAATACGTTTCCATAGTAACCCAAGTAATTTTATTAGGAATTTAACAAATTGATGTTTATTTGGATATATAACATTAGGACAATGTATATAAATTCAACTTGAGAAAAGTTAGTTAATATGGTTTAAACACGGAGGATGCCACGGAGGATGCCAGAAGACAGATGGTCTGGAAGAATATTACAATGAATTCTCCCTGAGAAAAGAGAGACAGAGGGCATCCTCAAAGAAGTTGACATCACAATATCGATGAAGCAATGACAGCTATTTTTTTCGACATTCTGGACTGCTATAGCTGTAATACAAGTTATTGTGTTTTTAGTTTTGGTTAAAAATAACTAGGAATAGGTAGAACTATAGTAAAATTCAATAAGCGGTGCAGGAAAATATAAACATTAAATCGTGTCCAAATCGGTATGAACCGCCGATAACATCGCCAGACGAAATAAAGATGGACATTCCGGTTAGTTTTTAAATATTTTTGAAGAACTGTTACTTGCATTTATGCATTAAATATTCATTAATTTTATAAATCGGAGTATTTTTTCACTTACTTTGTATTCAGTGATAACATTAATTTATTTACTATGCAATAAACACGAATATTTGAGAAAAGAAAAAAAATAATAAAGTGTCATAATTATACTGTTACTTATCGGAACGAGTAGACTCATTTGGAACATCTTTAACAATTATCTGTTAAATTTATCGTTGTTTATATTCCCTGCACCGCTTAATGGAATAAGGTATAGATATTTTTTTATCAACAAACATTCATTATATTTAGATGAACAAGTTCTTGTTTTTTGCATCAAAATAGACTTTATTGTTTTTGTCTGGGCACTTGTTGTACGGAATGTTAAAGAAAGGGGCATCATCCTCTTCTGGAATAAAATTATAGGGCAAAGGGACTCTAACGAGATAGCTTCTTGTCTGTACAGGTTTTTGACCAGTAGAGAAATAGGATTCACTATAGATAAGCAAAAGCTAATTCTCTGGTCAGATAATTGTGGTGTATAAAATAAGAACCAGGCTTTACTTGTTATGTATCTCATTTTGATTGGAAGAGGTTTCTTTCCAGAAATTACTCATAAATTTCCTGTAAAAGGACATACCTTTCTCGCGTGTAATAGCTATTTTACCATTATAGAGAAAGTAAAGAAGCATAACAAGCCGCTTATACCAAAAGACCTCATTAAAATTATTGCTAATGCTGGAAAGAAAAATTAGTTCTATGTAGCGAACACTACAACATTTTTGGATTACACTGGACTGATAATGGAATAGTTATTAAAACCCACATTAGATTAAAGATGTAATTCAAAATTAATATTACTACATTTAAACGGTTTTTATCCATATATCTAGTGGCTTCAAACATATAAATTCAGTTAGCACTGATGATTGCATAGTTATTCCGAAAACATTCTGTAGTGTAGCCTGATAGGATTTTTATATTAATATACCTTTTATAGAGGAATTCTTTAAATAAAAAACATTGTTATACATTGTACACACTCAACTACAGGAATTTAGTTTGCGTATGGATATGTATATCCATGATACAATAATAACAAGATAAGGATCTTCCCGTAGCACAAAATAGGTCGTGTTCGCGCATGCCGTCATTGGAGAGTAGAATTTGAATTCTTGTTAAAGTTAAATGGGATTTGGATGCATTCTGTGATGAAATTACTAGACGAAAGTAAGTTAAGAGGTTTAGTAATTACAATAAGCGTACACATAAGAATATCTACAAGCTATTTATTAAAGATTATTTATTGATACATACAAAAAACTGACATTTCGAACGTCAAACTCTCCAATGACGTCACGACTTATGCGCAATATCTTACCTTCTTAGTCTTAGTATCATGTGTATGTATATCTATCTCATAGACCTCCATATTTAGTACACCTATCCTTTTTGAGTTATTACCACTCGTTTTGGAAAAAAATCGTGTCGCTAAATTCAAAAGTATATTTAAGAGATCGAATTTTGAAAAGCGTTGGGATTCATTAATTATTTATTTTAATGAACTTTCTGGCTTTTTATTTCAATTGGTAATTCTTTTATTAACTTACTTTAAGTAAAAAAACATTTCTAGAAACCAATTCAAGTTCAATTCGTTTAAATATGTATTGCATTTAATTGACAATCAGTACGCCAATGCATATGGAATTTAAACGTCAGAATTGACATTTTGCCACCTGGCATTTGTGTTTTAATATTATGAGACGTAACTGCATATTTAAACCTTCTTCTAGTGCCAATGTTTTGTGGTGTGAATAATATTTTCGTTCCTCTTAAGAATATAATAAATTTTATATATTAAAATCAATATGCACAAAGCAGTAAGCTAAGAATAAGACTATCATAGTTCCTCATAGTTCGTATGACTACCAGCATAGGGAAAGTCAATGGGAAACCTACAAACTAGTGCAATGTAACATTTGGTCAATTCTTCTTCTTTTTCGTCTGTCATCTGTCAACTTCAATTCTTCTTTTTGTCATCGTCAAGTCTTCTTCTATTTCGCCTTTTAAGATCCGTCAATTATCCTTTTCCGTCTATCAAGTTTTCTTCTTTTTCATCTATCAAGTCATATGTCTATATTTCTTTTCCGTATGTCTAGTCTTCTTCTTCTTTCACGCGATAAGTGCCAAACTTCAGTTTTTAGGGTGAAGTATGTGATCTCGCTAGAAAGAAGATGAAAAATGGTGTTGAATTTTATATACAGGGTGTGTATTGCAGCATGTCAAAAAGGCCTTGATGACGTAATTGCTAAACGCCTAAGCGTACAAATTTCTGCGACATGTTACATGATAGAGTCTAAAGAATACTACTGTCCTTCTTCTTCCACACAGCAACATTTAAACTGTGTATCACAGGGAGACGTACCATATCTCGTTGTAAATATGACCATCAATTTATCAAAGTGCGAAAGAAATATCTATATAGGTGCTCCAGGAAAATGTATTTTATCAGCCTTGCTTAACTCCTAGCTTCCTTTACAATAACTTCCTTGTTTAATTTTCTTCTTTGATCGATGACGAAAAGTTAATCTACATTACACTAAGCATGTTTAATACAAAAACATATATAGGACAAAAGCAATAACAAGAGAACATTGGATTAAGTTCACAAGTGGCATGCGTCAAGACATTTACAATGTACAGAGGAAAGTAGGGAAGATGAAGAACAAATCAGAAAAAAAAACAGTAAATGAATTGTACAAAGGAAATCCCAGCTAAGACATGGGAAAAATATTTCAGAGAACTCTATAAAAGTGAAGAGACCAGCGATGAACCGGAACACAAAGCGGAAGAAAGGTATATCGGTAAGTAAATAGTAGCAAAAGCGAGAATAAAGACTTTAATGAACAGACGGTCGCCATGAGCTAATGGAATACCGATAAACTAAATAAACTATTGAAATATGGGGACCATGAACTTACAAAATACATCACAGTACTGTTTAACAGAATTTTAAACAGAATGGAGTTACCCCAAAGGACTGGCATACTAGTTAGAGGAATCATTTTTTTGTAATACGACAATGAAGCTATTCATAAGCTTACTCAAGAATAAATTAAAATCACAAATAGAAATTAGAGAAGAGCAATAAAGTTTCAGAAAGGATAGATCGACGATGGAAGCAATATTCATTATAAAATAAGTGAAAAAAAAGTGAAGGTCCGTAAGCTGGAGTACTTGGGACATGTGATGAGAACTCGAGGCAGACAGGAGCTACTTCAACGCATTTTACAAGGTAAAATTGAAGAAAAAAGGGCCTCAGGACGAAGAAGAATATCCTAGCTTGCTAACCTGAGAGCATGGTATAGAAAGACCTCAACACAGCTATTTTCAACAAAGTCATCATAGCCAGAATGATCGCCAATGTTCGGAACGGACAGGCACCCTAAGAAGAAGAAACAACGAAATATTATAGAAACTAAGGCAGATAGTCTCAGCCCGTTTCTGTTTAACATAATGGATGAACTAATAGAAAATGTGGGTTGCTATGACTGGGATGGGAAGAATACTTAGGGAAACTTTTCCATGACCTTGGAACAATACAAGAGCCCACCATTGATGAAAATTCAGGTCCTGAAATCCTACCAGAAGAAATAACGGCAGGTGTCAGACAAATGAAGGATGAAAAGACACCGGGACTTGAGAAAATTCCTGCAGAACTGCTGACGCTATTAGATGCAGAACAAATAAAAATAATAACTGAAATATTTAATTAAATATACAAGTCAGGAAAAATACCAGTAGAGTGGCTCAAATTGGAGTTCGTATCATTACCCAAAATACCAGGAGCAAAAGTTTGTGAAGATTATAGGACAATAAGCCTAATGAGCCATCTGCTGAAGCTGTTTTTAAAAGTCATCCAGAAAAGAATTTACCGGAAATGCGAGAAACAAATTGCGCCCAATCAGTTTGGATTTGTGAACACCGTTGGCATGAGGGAAGCTTTATTTAGCGTGCATGCATTGTTTCAGAAATGGAGAGATTCAGCTGTAATGTTTTTTCATGCCTGATTCACTACAAGAAGGCTTTCGATAGAGTCAGTCTGATAGAAGTGCTGAAGAGGACAGGGATTGATGGAAGAGACTTAAAAATTATAGCTAATCTGTATTGGAATCAATCAGCAGTACTCCAAATAGATGGAGAATATACAGATCAGATCAAAATCTTAAGGGGAATGAGACAGGGGTGCATAATTTCACCCCTGATATTCAATATGTACTCGGAGTACATTTTTGAAGCGGCTCTAAAATATATTGATGAAGGCATCTCACTAAATGAAGTCAAGCTCAATAACCTACGGTAGGCAGATGATACAATAGTATTATTTAATACCATAGATGGGATGCAAAAATTAGTGAACAGAATAATGGAAACAAGTAGGACATATGTACTGGATATAAACACCACCAAAACCAAGCTAATGATCATCAGCAAGGAAAACATAACTGGAGCAAATCTGTATGTGAACCAAATGAGAATTGAACGTGTCTCACAATACAATTACTTGGGAACTATAATCAATGAGTCGTGGGACAATACCCAAAAGATTAAATGTCGCATCGGAAAGGCCAAAAGTGCATTCTTGACTATGTCATCAAAGCTAGAACGATCGCCAACGTACGGAATGGACAGGTACCCTAAGAAAAAGAAGATAACTATGATCTAGATTCGGACATAGCAGAATTGGTATAGTCTGCTATTCAGATGACACAGCCCCACTGCAGAGAATAAAGACAATCTACAAAGACAACGTTACAGATTCTACAAAGCACGCCTTTGGTTTAAGATAAACATATCCACACACAATATGAAGAGCATTACTCTAGTTAAAGATTCAATTAATTGTAAGCTCGTAGTGAAAAATAAACTTATAGAACAGCTGAACCAATTTAAATATCTCAGCGTAGATTTGTCCAGTCACCATAACCCAGTCAGAGACCTAAGAGGCTAGATAATGAGATGGCATCCATATTTGGATGTTTAAGAAAGTTGATGATGTCGAATATCCGATATGTCAAAGATTAGGAGATTTTAAAATCATGTAAAAAGGACGAGGGAGCAAAAACTACCAAGAATTGCGCTAGAAGAAAAATCAATGGGCAAGCTATTAACAGGAATACCACCAGAAAGAGATGTAAAGATAGCTGGCAGTCTATCTCTTAAAAATACTTTAGAAACGGAATCGCCAGATTTAAAACAAATACAAAAAAAAAGAAAATAGATATATGCATTGTTTTTTTATTTTTTTTATATATATAAAATCATGGATGAGACAACGTAGTTCTCCATAAACCTTCTTTTTAAATTACTGATACTAAAACGCTTGATATTCCTTAAATTAATTAAGTAAATCAAGGTATAATGCAATATAAATAGAATCCGTATTGAATGATATATTTTAAAGACTTACCTTTCTCTTATATTCTCGAGGTAGTTGGCGACGTAGTCAATCATCTCCTTTCCGAATTCCCTAAACTGATTAGCTTCCATTTCTGCAAGTATAGAAATCGGTTAAACTCTGTAAAGCTGATTTTAAATTCAATTTTGATGGAAGATTGCGTCAATATCAAGAGTTTACGATTTACTAGATGTAAAAATAATAAAATATTAGTAGGAGTTTCGTTGTTATATTTATATTTATTATAATTATATAGGAAGTTAAATATGTGTATTTTTCTTGGGGTATAATTAGAATTTAACTATATAGTGCTTTAAACCAGTTATATATTTCAATCATGATTTTCTGTGTACAATTTTTGTGATCCAAAACTAGCAATTTAGAAGGTTAGTCTATATAATGAGTGTGTAGAAATTGTTTTTTCTACAATAGTTTGTTAAATAAATAAACAATCATAATTAAAATATTTGAATTTCCAATGTAATTAAATTAAAGTTCTGCGATCAGCATGACACGCCTTTTTCCTGCTGGGTCGTATCTCCTGTGCCTGTCAGTTTTTTCACATTCAATATATTCAAACCCAACTACCATTAAAACACTTCTTTTTATTCTCAAATAAAAGGATGCTAGTCCTTAAAACGTGGACCTTTAAAGGCCGAAACTCTATCAAGACATCTGAGCTATGGTTATACAGAAGGATCCTGAAGATACCATGGACAGACACAGGCACCAATGAAGAAGTACTGCGAAGGATAAACACAACCGCGGATTTGGTCAACATCGTGAAGGGTACGGAAAAATAAGGTTTTACGAGAATTTGCAAACGGAATTACTCCACAGGATGTTTCAAAGTTAGGATGATAAAACCACGTTTTAATTAACCCCGCACAATAAGTTTAATAAAAAATTTTATCAAAAAACTGACGATATCAAATTAAAATTTATAAATTTATACACAGTGTGCTAAAAAAACGTCAAAATAGGTCTAAAAATAAAAAAATTTATACGAATAAACTTACGAATATACGAATAAATAAAATATTGTGTGACATTGAGTATTAAGGTTTGCCAATATTGGTGATAAGTTGACCTTCCAATTATCTACCTCCGATTGCACTAAAAAAGTGCAAAGTGCAAATCTTTTGCTATTTAATATTGTTTATATTTACATTAATAAATTTTGATAACCAGAAGAAATATCAATAAAAATATTATTTCTCCTTTTATAATTATTATTTAATAAACCTTTTGTCTGGTTCTGTTTAGTGTCTAGGGATGAAAAAATACCAACTGAAAAACTCAATACAATATGGTTATGAAAATATATATAGTTAGTATTTGTAAAGACTGACCAGACCGGACCACATTCCAATTATCAATCGAAAGAACACTCAGATAATATTGGCGATGCAAACCAAAGACACAAATTGTTCTTCTATATATCAAAAGGCAACACATCTTGCATCCAAAAGATCAACTAACGAAATGCAGAAAAAAGGAGATAACAAAAAGACAACGAATCTGTGTCTAATACCGACACTTAGACCGCAATCCATATAGAAAATACAAAACCAAAAAGGCAGCAGCTCTTATTCTTGCGTTTTCAATTTCTTTTCAATAAATTTATTATTATTATAATAACCAGCCCCATTTAAAGAATTTTGTAATCAGATATCAATATTATTTATTGTGGCCGTTTCACTATTTGGAGTTAGAACTTAGAGTTAACTTATAATAACTATAAATAAAATAAAATAAAATAGTTATAAAAGAATGAATGATAAACGACGAATGCGATAATTATTGTAGATATGCCAAGTTACTTGTTCACCTATCTTAGCAAACTGTTAGATTGTATTTCTATATTTTTTAAATTATGACTTTGTTATTGTTGCAATTATATTCTATTGAGAGTCTATTAAGAATCTTCTATTCTATTATTCATTAGTGTAAATTGTCTATTTTGATATTGTCAATTGATTTGATGACGTTAGTAATGAATCGTATTAGTTATTACTATATGTAGAAACATTATTAATAAAAATCAAGTTTTAGAGAATTTAATTAAATACACTCAATTAATAGAACCTTCAAATAACTCTTAAGTTTATGTTTTTTGTTTAAACACCAATAAATAAAATTTAAAGTCATTAAGACATTTATATATATATATATATATATATATATATATATATATATATAATAAGGATCACTCAGACGAGTGGTGGGTTCAATTATCGGTCAACTAGGTGGAGAAATAAAAGACAAAGTTGATACTACTTCATCTATTTTGAAGACGTTTCGCTATCGAATTCTGATAGCATCATCAGTTCATCTAAAATTTTTTACTTTAATACAAATAAATACAATTCATTCTTTGAATACTTTATAAATTAAAGTTCCAAGCGTGGGACCTTGGACTTTTTGGAAATTAGGTGCTTATCGTCATTCACCTGTAGCTGTATATCCAACTACACTGTTGACGGTTTATCACCCTTTTATATATGGAGTTGAATGAATTTTGCCTACTTGTTTGTTCTAGACTAGTTGATGCAGGGGATTAGCGTTATCGCTAATTTCTTTCATTGTTTGGTCTCTTACGGGAGGGTTATCATTCAAACTCATGCTAACTTTTTCAAATATACCGCCCGTAAATTAGTGGGTTGGTACTATTAACCTTGCGGTTCTGTCGAAAAATCTTCGACCTCAAGGTTGGCTGTCTGTTCATGTCATTGGCTCGGTACCTTTTAATTAACGCCATTTCAACCGCAACAGGTGCCAAGCATACAGTGGTAACTTCACTTTATATCTTTTTTTGTATATATTTTTTATTAATTATTATTTATAACTGGGAATAAGCCACAATTAAAGATAAAAATACGTTTATTGACGTTTCAATTTCCAATTCGGAAATCGTTCTCAAAATACAAACATTAAATTTAATGTTTGTATTTTGAGAACGATTTCCGAATTGGAAATTGAAACGTCAATAAACGTATTTTTATCTTTAATTGTGGCTTATTCCCAGTTATAAATAATAATTAATTTACAATGCCACAAGAAAATAGCTTCAGAACAATATATTTTTTATATCTCAATGTAGATAACTTAAATATTGCTACCAAAAGTTAAGATAAAGTCATAAAATAAAATTTTTTGCATAGTTGGAAGTGAATCAATGATTTTCTTAGTTATTTTTCACTAGTTAATATTATATAAAATATTATATGCTTATTAGACCACGTGTTCTGTTGCTTTGCTAATTTTTACTAAGTCTCTAAATGTTGTTAGTTATTTAATTGTTTATACAATATCACCATATGATGTCCATTTATTTGAGTTTTTGTACTATCTTTTTAATACCATTGACAACTACATATTTATATATTTTATATATATATATATATATATATATATATATTATATATATATATATATATATATATATAATAATAATAATAATTTCGAAAGAATATCCGAACTTCTCAATTCCACAGAATACAAATGCGTCCAAAACGATCCAACCACATATCTAGAAAAAACGACCAAATCCATTCTAAATAAGTCTACTTTACCTCCAGACCTCAAAAAATCTCTTATACCCAGAGGAAAAGCATCCCGAATTCCAAAGATATACGGTTATTTTAAAATCCTTAAGCCCAATGTTCCCCTAAGACCCATCGTCAGTACATACAACTGTCCCACTCAGAAATTGGCAAAACATCTCGTTTTATCCATACAATCATTAGCCGAAAACGCCTGAAGATAGGCTAGACTACAATTTTCCAGGGAACATTTACATTAGAAGTTAGGACAATGGAGTAATGTTCTTTTTACGGATGAGTCAAGATACTGTCATCTCTCATCAGATGGGAGAGAACGAGTATAGCGTCGAATTGGAGAGATATTTGCGGAGTGCGCTTTCAGTCCTTGCATTAGCAATGGCGGGTTTTTTGGTGATGGTATTGGCAGGAATATCCGGAAAGGCGTACAATAATTTTTTATTCATTGAGGGTTCGATGACTCCACCGGTTTATTGAGGAAATTTTAGCGAATCACGTAGTACCCTTTTCTCAATATATAGGCGATGATTTTCTATTAATGCGAGATAATCCGTCACCCCACTCTGCAATTTAGAGAAAGTTGGCATTAATGAAATGAACTGACCAGCGTGTTCGCCAAATTTGAACTCAATAGAGCATTTTGGGAGATGCTTGGTAGAAATATTAGAGGTCCCGAAGTCGCACCAGCTACAATTAACGAACTTCGCTTGGCTCTAGAAGAGGAATGGCAAAACATCCAGCAAGTCGATGCAGATATTAGCAATCTCATAGACAGCTTGAGCCGACGTGTACAGGCAGTTATATATGCTAGGGGAGGCAATACAAAGTATTAATTTATTTTTTAGTAGTTTTTCTTTATTTGCGTACTTAGGTTAAGTTACATTTAAGTTGGTTTTTTTATGTTTTGTTATTGTTATCATTGTTGCTTTGGCGCTTTGTCCTCCTAGGTCATATATTTGGCCATTTAATTAACACAGCGATAGCAGCTTTTGCTAGAAGATTTAATCTTTTACACATTTCGCATAGCCCAGAGGACAGAAAACGATATTATTATATCGTTTTCGTTCACGGCAGCCAAAGCAGGTGGCGCCTCTATACGCCAACCACTGTGGTGGTGAAGCTTTAGGAGATATTCTTGGACTTTTCGAGTTTCAATTTGTATCAGTCCAATCGTCTGATGAGGCTGGGGTAGGCCGAAATGATTATTGATACTTTATTGATAGTGATTCGAGCACGGGAAGTTTAACGAATTTCTCCTCCTAGGTTATATATATATATATATATATATATATATATATATATATATATATATATATATATATATTGTTATGATATGTAAAACCGAGAAAGATATTGGTTTGTCTAAAATATTTCAAGATTCAAAAACATTAAAATAATTCAGATAATTAGGAGATAATACCCAACAAACATTTCGAAGAAGGAAAATATTTATTATTAAAATTTTTGGATTACCTGTAGTAAACAAAATGTAAGCTAAGCATAAATTATTTCTTTTGTTATACTATACT